CTTTCGTGCTCGCTGAATGAGTGCCATTTCGAAGCCTTTGTAGGATAAGCTGTTTTATTTTCCACTTTTATTCTTTCAGTTTTTTTGCATCCGAAAGGTAATTTTCGAGAACCGTTACGGCATCTGGCCGACCCATGATTCTGACCGTTTGCAGAAGATCGAGTACAGCACGCTGCGAGCCTGATTCTACCGCTTCCCATAAATCCAGTACCAACGATGTAGGCGAGAGACCTGGACGGGTCGCGAAGTACTGAAATTTAAAAGCTATGTGAATTTTTCGATTTTCTGGGAAATGTTCAAAAATGTTTTTTCCCGGAGAATGTTTGTGTCAGTAAAATCTGTGAATGTTTGAGCAATTACCTGTATATACCTATGAAGATTCAGTTTTCTGGCTAGGCCTCGCCAGTCTTTGGTTGGATCAGTGGGCACATCAAGAAGTTTTGCTAACTTTCGTCGCGTTACACCATCCAGCAGAAATTCTGAAGTGAGTAAACCATCTTCCTCCATTTCGTCACACTCCTGGAAATATGCTCCTATTAGCTTATCCTCAAGCAGCAGCTGGGGTAACTCTTCGCCATCTTTTAGTATTATAGCTAGAAAGCGGAAGGCTCATATAAAGCTTATCGCCGTCTTTTTTTGTGTTAACCAACATTTGCTCAGATAGCGCTACTGTCCCTCGTGCTTTTTTTTTTGATACAATTTAGCACGCATTAACTAGCAGTGAGCTTATTTTTTTCCTTCCTTAAAAATTTTGATCCCATCCTGGATGATACATGCGAATCCGGCTGCTGCTGTGGATGTTCCACCGCAAATCCTCGATGTGGATGAGGCGAGGCTGGGAGGTGCCGAGGGTACATGAAGATGATATGCTTAAAAATTTTCTTACATGAATGATTTGGCACGCTACGGCTCTCAAGAGGCAGAAGGAGCGCCATTTGTACCTCTCCAGGATGTATTACTGAGGTAAAGGAACGAGAGGAGGACAGCAAGAGTTAAAAAACCTGTGCTGGGCGAAGTGCGGTAGAATCACTTACAAGTGGATGTTGCATGTCGAAGTGTAGCACTTCTCGCGCCTCCGCATTTCCCTTCTGATAGACAACAATACGACCAGTGACCGTTTCTAACAAATCTTCCGGAACATCCGTCTTCACGCTGCAGTGCAAACCGTTCTGGATGCACCATAAATGATGGCTGGCCGGTATCTCCTAAAACAGGCGCTTGATGACTAATTTACAGTTAATACGATGATTCTATTGGATGTGAAGCATGTCACTGGATTACAATGATAATGATGGCTTTTCTTTTTCTGCACCCGAACAGCGGTTTTTGCAGTGCATGGAAGGTTGGGAGCGGATTTTTCGCCATTTTTGGGCAAAAAAGGAATGAGGAAGTCGTAGCAGCTTCCTAAGAGAGGAAAATCTTTGTCAGAAATTGACGACTGTCTGATGTTTCCTGATAGAGTGGTAATTTCTGAATCACACAGATTTTGCGTCGATTACATTCCGCTGATTAGATGCTAAAAACCGTTCGAAAGTTTTTCCAGTTCGGGTTGGGAATGAAGTTTAATGTGTGTATTTAAGTAAACATCAAGGAAGACGAACCAAGTACTGCGCTTCCGGCTTCTTTGCCAGTCCAGTTGAGACATCTTCCAGACATACACATAACGCACCTTTCTCGCGCATCAAAAAATTCTCGGCTTCGGCCAGCAAAGCACCAGTGTTCTCTTCCTGACTGATCACGCTTTGTATTGCTATGCCGATCTCCGGTACGCAGTAGACCCGGATGGACGTGTCGTTCGACATGCGATGTAGTGGACCAAATGCGGCCAGTCGCATCCGTTTTGTTGTTGCTACGGTTGTGCGACGTGGCCTACCTACGAGCAGCAGTTTGCAGAACCTCTCCACCATTATATGACACCTGAAGTGCACCACTCTTAAAAAATTGCTTGGATAAGTTCTGATTTTTTATGCGTTTTTTGCAACAATGTAATGCGAAAAACGCATATTGACGAGAGGTTGTCTGTGTGTGTGTGTGTGTGTCTGTGTGTTCGTCTGCACCGATTTTTCATCTCAAGACCTACAAAAGCTACGGGGCTGAAATTTTGGGGACTTAATCTACATGCACGTACGGGCCCCCATCCCCAAAATTGGCGCCATACCCCGCGTGGTACCCGCGTACGGGCCCCCCAAAGTTTTT